CGGCCCCGTGAGATTTTTTGGTGGGAAAATGGCTAATTCGGGAACTAGCAAAGCTGGGGAGCTGAAATTTCCAGGGGATGTTCCCGGCCCACGTACGACTTAAATTTATCAAACTTAGCCCCAGTTGTACGTGGCTCTCACGTCCGGTTCCGCGAAATTTTTTGGCGGGGAAATGGCTAGCTCGGGAACCAGCAAAGCTGGGACGCTGAGATTTTCAGGTGATGTCCCCAGCTCATATACAACTTAAAGTTATCAAATTCAGCCCTCAGGCGTGCGTGGTCCCCGTGTACGGGCACTTAAATTTTTAGCGGGAAATTACTCATTGAACAGCTGGGTAATTTTCAAAAAACGACAGCTAAACGGAAATTGTTTATTTCCTTTTATGCAAAATTTACGATGATTTACGGTATTGAGAGCACAAAGTAGGTGTGAAGAAACAACCACTCATGCAGTTAACCTAATTACTTCAAGTATGGTGCAAAAACGCATGATCGCACCGGCTCGCCTGGTGCGTTTCAGCCTGGGTTTCGGCAAATGCTCGCTTGTTAAAAAAATGAAAAATGCAAATTTTTTGAAAAAATGCAAAATTCCAGTCCACTAAAAAGTGGGAGTATTGCTCGAACGGTTGTTTGTCAAAAAATCCAAGTATGCACATGAAATGAATGCTCATTTACGTATTTGGATGAGGGTGGTCGTTCGTTGCAAAACGCACTCGTTTCTGATTTTCCGGTAAAGTTGAGTATTTCTCATGTTCACCTGCAGGGGATTTCACCTCCAAGCAGAATTAAGACCGTAATTAAAAGTAGAATATCCCAGCGAATTTTCAGCCTCGCAGCTTATCCAACAAGCGAAATATCCGCTTCGCTACAAAAATCTACGAAGTGACTGAAGTCGTGGAGCAAGTGCAAATCGGTACTCATTCCAGGTATGCGATTTCCCATATGGGCGACAAACATGCTGACAAAATTTCAATCACTGTTCCCCAGCAAGTTATTGAGTTAGCAGAGTACCAAGTTGCAAACGCTGACGTGATCGTATGCGCTTCACAAGCGGGCGCGACAACTGAATTTGAAATTTTTAGCTCGCCAATGTACAGAGAATATCTCTGCAAAATTTCAGCTTTGTACTGTGCCTAGTTCGCGAAATCCTTTTGTATATTTTTTGGAGGGTCCGTACGCGGGGTCCAGGCATATATGGGGGGACATCTTAAAACGGGAGGGTGACACACGGGGTAGGAACATATATCCAAAATTTCAGTTTCCCAGCTTTCCTGGCTGCTGAGATGAAAGTGGGTGACAAAATGCA